CCCAGTTTCCAAACAGTGATTAAAATTAATTACCCCGGAGCGCCCCCCCAACCCGCCCCTGGCAGCGCAGGGACCTGTGCCGTCCCCACTGCAGTCCTGCCCGGTCTCCACAGCAGCTCCCGTGGCCCGGGGACAGGGACATTCTCGCTGGCTCTCCGCTTGGTTATCTGAGAAATGTTCCCTTAGGCTGTTACTACCGCTGTGGACAGATGGCTTGTCGGGAGTGTGCAGTGGAAATGTCACTAAGAGCCGGCGTCGGCCCTTGGATTTCAGCTGCACCAGAATGTGCTGTGTGACCATGGCCAAGCCGCCTGACCTCTCTGAGATCCACTTTTTCCATCTGCACAGTGAGGGGGACGGTGCTGGCATCTGAGGGCTGGTACAGGCATCAGTTTGTACTGCCGAACCCTGCTGAGCATTAGTAGAGCGCGGCCTGCACTGCGAAGGTCCGCCGCACTGGCACATAGTAGGCACAGAAGTCTGCAGTGAACATAGTCTCACCGTTCTTTTTTATTTACTTATTTTTGGTTTTCTGAGATGGGCTCACTGTGTAGTCCAGGCTGACTCAGAACTCATAGCGAGCAATCCTCCTACCTCAGCCTCCCAAGGGATGGGATCACAGGTATGTGCTGCTATTTTGTAAATAGGGGCTCTTCCTGGGCTGTCCATTCCTCAGGTGTTTGCTGAGTACCTGCTGTGTGCTGGCCTCAAGCTAGGCATGGAGCACAGAGCAGGGACCACTGTCAGGCCCTGTCCTGTCTCCAGAATCTAGCATTCCCAGCCTGATTTTGCAAAGAAGCAAGTAAAGCCCTAAGAGGGAGAGGCTGTGCCCCAGGAGATCCTTGCAATTAATGAAGCACCTCTTATGCACCAGCCCCGCCTTCCTGCTGACCCAAGGGGGATGGTTGTCACACTTGGGTCACTGAGGGAGAAACTGAATACTCACAAAGTTCAGGACAGCTCTGCTGGGCCCCTACGGCCTGGGCTGAGTTCCTAGACAGCCAGCACTGGCTGGGCCTCATGGGGCGGAGGCAGCTGGAGGAGGCAGCTGTAAGCAGAGCCGGTAACCAGACCTGGACAGCGCAGGGCCCGGTGCTGGGCTGGGTTACCCGATCTCCTTAGGGACAGGCAACAGGGACAGAGCTCTCCTATGGAACCAGAGATGAGCACCACTGTCCTGCTGTATCCACCCAGGAAGCAGGCTCCCAGCCTGATGAGCGTCACTTTATCCCTTACCGAGAGGCCCAGAGAGGGTACATTGGTGGTGTAAGGTCACACAGCAAGGTCATTTGACATAAAGCAAATGCATGTGTACTGGGCCATTCTGGTGTCTTAGGTGATTTCTGTCAAGGAAGAACATAAGGACAAAAACACAGATAGTTGGATGTGGTGGCATGTGCCTGTCATTCCAGCACTTGGCAAGCTAAGGCAGGAAGATCAGTGCAAGTTCAAAACCAGCCTGGGCTACATAGTGAGACCCCCATTTAAAAAAACAAACAAACAAACAAACAAACAAACAACAAAAACCCAGAGTAATAGCAGAGGTCACTGTTGGAAGTGACCAAGGCCTGCTGCTTGGTGGCACCAGTTTCTATGCGGAGCGTGGTTCTGCATTCCATGGTCTCTTTGTAAGGCTTAAGAGGGATCTTAGCATCACCTGAGGTTCGCAGCCCGGGAAATCAAGGCCTGGTCCCCGTGCCCGCAGCTGAACTGGACTTCATTTCAAGGGCACTAGGGAGCCGTAGAAGACTCAGAGCAGCACCCTCCAGCCAGGCCGATCCTGCCCCAGGAGGCTCTGTGCATGGATGGGACACGTGTGGCCATCAAGGCTGGTGGCGTCTCGCCAGGGAGTGGGCGGAGGCCAAGAGCTGCCCGTGGTCACATGGCATGGGCAGAGCTGGGTTTGAATTGGGGCTTTTTTTCTTTTTGGATTTTTCAGACAAGGTCCCCCTGTGTAACCCAGGCTGGGCTTGAACTCGCAGTGATCCTCCTGCCTCAGCCTCCCAGGTTCTGGAATGACAGGCATCCACCATCAAGCCTAGCAAATACAGGCTTTTTATCTGATTGCATCGCCTGTCCCTCCCGCTCTCTAAGCCTCAGTTTCCCCAGTGGGTCAGCAGGGTGGAGCATGGAGGCGGATGACCAGTGTGGGCCAGTCTGGGCCCCCCATGTGACCTGGGGCCTCTCAGAACTGTCTGATGGTGAGCAAGGGGTTTGGGGATGGCTTCCGGGGGTCTGTGTTCATGCTGGGTCCAGCTGCAAGGGTCACATACACTGCAGACACCGCCTAGCAGCTTCCGCTCCCAGGGTGGACACAGCAGATAACAAGCAAATATTGAGCCCCAAGGGATCATCTGGCCCCAGGGCACATGTGCTTGGCCAAGACTCGTCCAGAGGCTCGTGGTTGGGGCACAGATGGACTCTGGCCAGGGCCACACAGGACTATTTCGCAGGGAGCCCCTCGCATGGGTCCCAGCATTTCAGACAGTGTGAACCCGGATCTCATGAGATCTTACAGAAGCGAAGCGCGGCTTGGCTGGGTGGGCAGGGTTTTGCGTTGCCAGCAGTGCCCTGCTCCTGGCTACCCTCTGTGTAACAAAGGGTCAGAATAGTCAAAGGGCTGTGGGCATTGGATATGGGCTGGAGTCAGCTAGGACAGAGGTTTCCCATGTCCAGGGGCTTGGGAGGTGGGGGTCCCTGAAGAGGCAACATTTCCCTTTCGGCACAGTCCCGAGAGAGTTGGCATCTGAGAAGAGCAGTCCAGGTGGAGGGCATGGCTGTGCCAAGACCCTGGGGCAGCACGCAGCCCAGAGCTGCGGGGAGAGGGGCAGGAGAGGAGAATGGAAGACACTTCTCTGGAGCGGCCTGAGCTGGGTAGGATGGAGGAATGGTGGGGTTTTGTCTTATTTGTGTTTTGGTTGGGAGTTTACAAGCTGACCCTAAGATGAACTACTGGGAGCTAAGAAGAACCTAGAAACGACATGCCTGCAGAAGAGGCGATGAGAGAAACTCCGAGCCTGGCGGTGCATGGCTGTCGGCCCAGCACTCTGGGAGGCTGGCCTTGAATTTGCAGCGATTGTCCTACCTCAGCCTCCTGAGTGCTGGGATTACAGAAGCACCACCGCGCCCAGCTCCTGGTCGCTTAGTCATTTTGACTTGTGGCAAAAGCTGGAAGTTGCGCAAAGCAATATCCGGTGAATGAGAAGGAGGGGGTCACTCATGCTTTTTATGAGCCGCCCTTCCATTGGATGATGCTTGGCCACAGCAGCCTTTTGTTTTGTTTTGTTTTTGGAGAAATGCTCTCACTATGTAGTTCCGGTTGGCCTTGAATTCACTAAGCAGCCCAAGCTGGGCTCCCACTCAAGGCAATCTTCCTGCCTCAGCCTCCCAGGGACTGGATGACAGGCATGTGCCACCGCACCTGGCTTCACCATGTATTTTGGTCACAAGCTGTACAGTGGAATTCCTTGCAGAGTTGGGGCGACACCTGTTTGTGTCGCCACAGACACAAATGCGTGTCCCCAGGGCTATGGGAAGAAGTTTCCCTACGACAGGTACAGGTACCCAGCTACCCTGTGGATCCTGAATACCATAAGGTGCACGTGACAGCCACGTGACACCCAGCTGGACTCCGGTGGGGGCTGAGTTGGTTGCCAGGTGCGGGGTACCCCAGCCTGACAGGTGGTAGGGCTGTTTCCGGCGCCAGGCAGCTGCTGACAGACAGGCCTCAGGTTTCATGGAGAGAAGCAGATGGTCCTGGGGTTGGGGGAGATGTGGAGGCCTCTGGTTACCCAGGCCAGTAGGTAAACTGAGGCCTGGTACCTTGTGTCAGCTCTAAAGTGGCTCAGACTCCCCCAAAATATTTGGGGCTCAGTTCTGCATTATTGTCACGTAGGGCAAAAGTACTGTTGACACAGGGCCTGGTGGTACAAGCCTGTAATCGCAGTGCTTGGGAGGCTGAGGCAAGAGGATCACTGAGTTCAAGGCCTACCTGAACTCCATAGTGAACTCGAGGTTAGCCTGACTATGTAGCAAGACCTTGTCTCGAAATGCCAGAACAAAATACAACAGTGAGCAAATCTTAGGGCGCAAGTCTGACCTCAGCTCCGCCGCTCCATGACGTGGGCCAAGAATCATTGCTACTCTGTGCCTCAGTTTCTCCGTCTGTATGAGGGACTTGTGTATAGCACCCACATACTACAGCATGCCTCACACATAGCAAGGGCTTCTTTGCTATTTTCTTCTTTTGAGACAGAGTCTGGCACCATAGCCCAGGCTGGCCTTGAAATCCCAGTGATCCTCCTGCCTCAGCCTCCCAGTGCTGGGATTATCAGTGTGCCCCACTATGCTCAGCTGCAGCTGCTTTCTACAGATTTTCTATTTTTTAAAAATTGTTTATTGAGCACCTACTGTGTGTTGGGCCCTCTGAGGTCCTGGGGACACAATGGTGGCCGTCTCTGCCCCCTTGGGGATCCTAGTCCTGGGGGGCAGACAGACATTTAAGACAAGGTGATGAGGGTGATAATGGGGGCGCACAGGCTCTGTGGAGCAGAGATATTCGCTCTGTGTCAGAGCAGCAGGACTCACTGCAGACAAGGGACAGAAGCAGCCCCCTGAGTTGGCCAGACACCCCATCTGACATCCCAGCACTCGGGGAGGTTGAGGCAGGAAGATCGCAAGCTCAAGCCCAGCTTGGAAAATGTGGCTTAGGGTGACCCTGTCTCAGTATGGAAAAGGGGTGGACGTGTCGCTTAGTGCCAAAAGCCCTGAGTTACATCCCAGTACTGGAGAAAAAAAGGGGGCAGCGGGGGTAGGCAGCCCTGGGAAGTGTCCAGGCAGAGTGGAAAGGGCCCACACCCTATGGTCAGCGGCCAGCGGTCAGGCAGTCTCCAGGAGAGGCCCAGGTTGACCCCTGGAGGGGGGGCAGGAAGGAAACCCGTAAGGCCCGGAGCCCAGAAACAGAAGGAAACAGGGCCGGGAGCGCACGCGGGATCCGGGTGTCCGCTGAGTCACAAATCCTGGAAGCCCAGGGTCAGCCGAGGCAGCCGCAGTTCCCTCCAGGCCTTCCTGTTTTTTGGCCTTGAAAGGTCCGCGGCAGCCACTGCAGGGGCCCACGTCCCCGAATCGCCCTCACCTGTAAGGGCCTCGGGATTCTGGAGGCCCCCGGGCAGCGCAGGGCAGGGAGGTGACCCCTGCTCACAAGGGGGACCAAGGCACCGCCCGCCAGAGAGATCGCAGGACTTCACTCAGAGATTCTCAGTAGGAGCTTCCAGGATCCCATCGCAGCCCTTCCTGGTAGGGGGGCCCTGAAATGAGGTCCTCAGGCCCGGAGGGCTGGGCTCCGGGGCAAATTCCATTCACACCGGAAGTTTTTGCCAAGGTACCTGGAATAAGATGGGGAAGAGGTGGACCCCTGGGATGTAGTGAGCTGCCTGCCACTAGGTATTCAAGCTGGGACAGAAAGATAGGACACAAATTTGTTTGGTGAAGTTCTGTCTTGTTAATTTCTTTTCTTTTTTCTTATTTATTTATTTTTACTATTTTATACTCTTGTCAGATAGTAACAATCTTTTAAAAAGAAAGACGAGGGGGCTGGTGAGATGGCTCAGTGGTCTAAAGCACCTACTTAGAACACGCTAAGCTAAGCAAAGCACAGACCGCGGTTCAATCCCCAGCACCACATGCCAGTCAGCCCTGCCCCCTGGTGGGCTGAGCTGGCCACACACACACACACACACGCACGCACATAAATAAATAAACCAAAAAAAA